GCCCCGTCCGACCGCGCCCGGGACAAGCCTCAGCGGGCACACGCGTATGGACTTGTCACTACAAGTACAAAAGAGCGGCGTCTACATTACATAGTAAGTGCATGGAAAATTGCCGGCAATCATTATCTACTCTCTCGTCAAATTAAATGTGAGAAAAATAAGAATCAGATCTCTGACGAAAATAGTATCCGGTGCTTAGCCATTAATCAGTCGGTTCGGCTGCTACCCGATCTCAGCGCCAGCGCCAGGCGCCCGGGCGCTCGCCAACGCCCTGTTGCAGCGGGCGCAGCGGCGGCAGCGAGGCGGCAGAGTAGTTTGGCTCGAGCGAGAGCTTCTGATTGGCAACCGGAACGCCAATACCTCGTTGGCGCGCGTTTGTCTCGGACTGCAAAGCGATCTCCCAGGAGCCAGGGCGTTCGCGCGGAAGGGCGGCGGGCGGGGCGGGGCGGACTTCCTTCGTGCTCCCCTCGCCAGCCGAGCAGCTGTTCCTTGCGAGAGTGGAACCGCGTATCGATACTATTACTTCGCCCGTTTTATTAACAAGTAGCGCCACTCACTGCAGTGCATAATTGATGCTTAAAACTTTCATGACGCGATCAATGGCGCCAATTGGGCCCTTTGTCCCCCACTGTTTTATTGCACACGAGGGTAACTATCATCCGAACAACAATGAACGTTTTCAAGAGGTCACAACTACTGTAACGCCCGCTTTACGTACGGGCCGCCATGTGGAGACTCGCGCCATCTGCTATCAGTCATCTCTCACAGCAGAGAGGCTGTGGTGCTGCAACGCTTACGCCGCCGGGTATCCAAAGCGAGCATCTCCCTAAGAAGCAGGTGTCGCCCGTCCCGTTAGGTGGTCAGCGCGGTCAGCCGGGTCTGGGCCGCCTGGAACCTTCCCCGGGGGCTTGACCACTCCGTCGTCGCCGACCCTGAAGGGCCCTCCCGCCCTCCCTCAACCTAACCGTGGCGTATCCAGGACCTCGGCACGGAACGCCGGATCACGGATGTGGAAGGGATTATTCACTATTTCGGGGACGATGAAAGTCACTTTGCGGAAGGCATAAAGTGCCCCGCCGTTCACTGAAGTATCCGCTCGTGCAGCACCCCGCTGATCTAGTCATGTCCCACGGGCAGACACCAAAGGAGTCCTGGATTCACTTGGAGGCACCGGCGGTACACAGCCGTGGATGAACTGACACTTTTCACACGCACCTGCAGGTCGGTTAGTCCAGATCCAGAGAGAAGTACAGGCGCCGGGATGATGGCGCGAGTCTCCAGAAGTTGTCCTCTTGCAGTTTTGGCACACTCTCTCTCACTCACACTCACTGCACTCCCGCACTGTCTCTGTCGCGCTGGCGCACACGCTAACGCTCACGCGGCCCGCACCGTACCGGCACACTCTGCTGCACCTCGCCGTTGACGGCTTGGAAGTGAAGTGAAGAGGGCCCGGGCGTGGATGGCCCAACGAGGAAGGCTGGGCCAGGACCGCGACCGCACGCCAGCCCGCCGCCGGCGCGAGGGGTGTGGCGGGGCACGGCGGGCGCGGCGGGGCAGGCGGGGCAGGCGGGGCACGGTGGGGGAAGGCTGCTGGGCAGCGCAGGGCCCCCACCACCACCTGTCGAGCAGCCGCCGAGCCCGTCCTGGCTCAGTGCGGGCCCGCGTGGACCGGACCGGACCAGCAGGCCAGACTTCGGAACGCCTTCAGAACGCCTTCGGAACGCCTTCTGACCCAGACTCCGGCAGCCAACCTGTCTGACGCGCCACCGCCGCCGCAGCAGTCGGGGCAGCCGCTGGTCCCTCCACCACTGCCACGGCCACGGCCGCGACCACCACCACCACCACCACCACCACCTCCTCCTCCTCCTCCTTGACGGCCACCACCACTACTTCCTTCGACGAGCAGCTTCCCCCTCCCCCTCCCTGCCCGGGGCCTGCCGGCGGTACAGATACTGTTATTCGTGCGTGTGCAGATCTACCCTGGGGAGGGGGAGTGGGGGGGGGGAGTGGGGGGCCTGCTCAATCATAGAGTTTGTGTGGAGGCTGTGCCGCCACTATCAGGAGGCGCGCCCAGGCAGCGCCGCCCAGCCCTGCGCACCGGACTTTCTTCTCTTCCTGATCCCTTTCTCCCTTCACTCTCCCCTTTAGCCGCGCCCCGCAACCGCCGCTGCCGTGGGCGAGGAGGAGGGGAGGACACGCACACACTCACTCGCACACTCACCCACGGGAGGGCGCGGCCCCGCGGCGGGGCGGGGCGGGGCGTGGAGACCCATGTGTTGTGCGGCACCGCGGCCTGTTGCATGAGCGGGCGCGGTGACACTGCGCCCAGCCCAGCTATGCACAGCAACACGACGCACGCACGCGCCTGTTGCACTCGGCATGCTTTCTCTGGGGTGGCGCCGGGACCACGAGGAGTTGTGCGGGGTCACTGCACCGCTACCGAACAGGAGAGGAAGAGACACGGAAGCGGGCCGGTGAGGTCCAAGAGCCTTGTGGTGGGCGTGGGCGCTCGATTGCATGGACCTGAGACTGTCACGAACTATCACCTTGTAAAAGTTCAAGCTCGCTATACGATGAACTGAAAGGGCACACGAGGAAAAACAAAATATGTGATCTAAAGTCACTAAGAGATTGTACAGAAAGTAGGGCAGTCAATAGCTATCAGTCTCTGCTATCTCCTTTAACGCCTGGCAGGTAGGCAACGTCTCGTCTGCAGTTCATGCGAGTGCTGCGGGGATGCCTACCCAGTGTCTCGCAGGCGCCTGCTAGCTCGCCTAATTTGCCGAATGAATGTGAGAAAAACGGACGAACTTTCTGGACGATCCCTAAGCATCGTTATCTCAGCAGAAAAGGATTGACGTTTAAAAAAATAAAAACTGGCCTCTAGTTTTATAATAGAATTGGGACTTGCTACATAGGCTAAGAGGCGTGTGAGGTACACTTTCCTGGCCACTTTGCCTTGAGAGGGGCTAAAATGTATTTTGCGACATTTTTTATACGTTGTTTAATAACTGTTCAATATCTGGCCAAAAGTGTCTAAGTGGTATTGAGAGCTTATGTTCAAAACTTCATGCTTCCATACTAAAATGCAAGGTTTTTCAGAGTACTTGCCTCTTGCAGTAATGTGGCCAGTAGCAACCATACAAACAGAAAATATTGTTTTGACTGTGTCAGTAACTTGATCCGCGGCCATCAATTTGTTTTCTTTGAAAAGGTTAGACATTTGCTACGAATGTATGTGTTTTTGGAAACAGTTGAAATGTCTTTCAATTAAGGAGAAACTTTGTTCTGCAGCGAACAAAGTCATGCTCACTTCGAATCCAGGTAATTTTTTCATTGAACAGGGTGTTCTTCATAGGCTTCGTACTTTTTTTCGAAGTCATTGTTTAACTGTAAAAGATATGCTCGTTGATTTACAATGTTATATTGTAAATTTAATATTTGCTAAATATGTATGTAAATTTTACGACCGTTCATGGAAAAATTTCACGTAAAACCTCCATCTATTTTTCACAGTGCAGAGGGTCCACGGCGCCTTATTACGAACAGAGGTACCGGTCCCGGCACGTTTCACCGTGTCGTAGGTCTGAGGTGTCGTTGTCGCACAAATTACTGGACGGTTAATCTGTGCGGCGTGGTTAGGTCGGCGCGGGAATTTTTGAGAGGTGTGTCTGGGTAACCCACATATCGGACCGTTCGTCGGCCCGCGCGCGGCTCTAGCTGGCAGCAGCTTCACGGGTGGGACATTAAAATTAGGTCCCAAAGGCCCGTCATCTGGAATGTAGTCCACATGTCGGCGAGTCCGCGCCGCGCGCGCGCTGCTGGGGGGCGCGGCAGCAGAGAAGGTCCTCCGCACACTCTAACAGTCTATTCCCAAGCAGCAAGGTGCGACCCCCGGGTGGTGTGAAAAATTTCCGGATCATGGGTCTCTGTCAGGCGAGGCGGCGCTGCGCGGTGCGGCACCTGTTTTACTGCGAGCAGCACAGCTGAGCCGTGGCGGCACACAGCACGAGCCCGTGTGTCCATGCGGGCCCGGGGGCCGGGCGGGCCCAGGCCGGGTTGGGCTTGGCTGGGCTGGGCTCCATTCCGCGGCTGGGCAAACAGAGAAATCGGAGAGGCACCGAGAGCTGCGCTGGGCTGCGCTGGGCTGCGTTTGGCTGCGCTGGGCTGCGCTGGGCTGCGCTGGGTTGGGCCGCGGGGAATGCGTGTGTGTGAGGGTCAGGTGGAAAAAAGGCAGCCCTTACACAAAACACACGACCTGCTTGTTTTCTTTCTCCCAACAGTTCATACAATAACGGAGAAAGAGTACGTTGACGACGTAGGGTAGGGTAATGTTCAGTCCACGTGTCACACTGTGCGTGTGCGTCGTACCAAGTACAGGAAAAAAATTTCGCTGGAGATATGTCGTAAAATTACGATACAATTCAAAATTCTAAATTTACAGCACTTGCTTTTCGCCTTGAATCGAATGAAGGGCAAGAGTGGAAAAGTTCTACATACGAAATATTTTGTTGTTGGGCAATGACAATATACATCGTACATATAGGAACATATTTATCACAGTGCAAGGATGGAGCTAAGTAGCGACAATCAATTTTGCATAATTGTATAAAACAAGCCCTCTTCTTTCCCCCCACAGTGTACATTGATTCTTTTCCTTTTCAGAAGGCATGTTTGTCAGACAGAAATTAAATTTTATCGGCATTTCACTTTGCTCGCTCGAATACATTTGCCTCTCCCCTTCCTGCCGCCGCCGCCGCCAAAAGTATATAAATTTTTGCTCGTGATTGGAGAGGAGCCCCAGCGATTAAGGGGGCGGATATCAAACACAGCGGGTCCAGCCGGCCGGCCAGCCGGTGGGGGCCCCGAGGGGGTCGGAGCGGGCAGAGC